GTGGAACGAAAGCAACGACAACGACGACTACCGGAGCTACAAGCGCCAATGCAACAGCAACTACAGCAGCAGCAACGAAAAATCATCAGCCCGCCAAGGGTGGAATGGTGAATATTAAGGATTTAAACCAAAGTTTAAAGAATTTAGAATCAAAGGTGGATGGATAACAAAATAAAGTGAAAAAAGCAATTTTTATTCAAAAAGTCAAATGTTTATAGTCAAAAAGCTTTTTTGATCAAAACAAGTTTTCAGTGCAATAATTTTTTTTTATCACTAAAGCTTTTTATAGGCAAAAAGTTTGTTAAATCAAAAAGCAATTTTTGGACAAAAAGCTTTTAGTAAAAAAGTTTTTTTTTTATGAAAAAAGTTTTTATAGATAAAAGTTTCTTTTTCCAAAAAGCTTTATAATTTTAGGAAAAAGCTTTTTTAGTAAGAAGCTTAAAGAATTTAGAATCAAATTAAATGAGCTAAAAACAGCTTTTATTTTAAAACTTTAATTTAGTCAAAAAGCTTTCTTAGTATAAGAGCTTTATTTTAGGAAAAAGCTTAATTTAAGCTTTCTGAAAAAAAAATAATCCTCTTGATACAAAATTATATACAAAAAGCTTTCTTGAACAATAAAGCTTGTTATATTTAAAAGAGCTTTTTGAACAAAAAGGCTTATTTATGTAAAAAATTATTTTTAGTCAAAAGCTTTTTTATATTCAAAAAGCTTTTTAGTCAAAGCAATATTTTAGCTTTTTGTACAAAAAAGATTTTTTTCACAAAAACTTTTTATAGTAAAAGTTATTTTTAGTTAAAAGCTTTTTTTGTTCAAAAAGCTTTTTTGTCAAATAATTTCTAAACAATACTTATAGTATTTTATTTAATAGAAATTTTCTACCATTTTCAGCTTTTGAAAAATCTCAAGCCTCCTGATCCTTGTAGCGTTACGGCCCACACAAAATCTCAACGAAACTTGTCTTGTGCAGGCATTGGTAAGTTTTGATTGCATAACTCCAACCTTAAACACTAATTAGTACTCTTTTTTTACAGGACAAATTACAGGTCGCTTATAATATGGACATTTTAAGGAAATGTTTAAAAAAATACAATACAAATTATTTCGGAAGTTCCACGACGAATATTTCAAAAACTTTAAAAGAATTTCATAATCTTAAAGATTTTCTCATGTATGTCTCCAAGAGACCGGGTAATTATTTAAAGTTACAAAGGATAATAGGTAAAGCAACGCAAAAACAAATACTAGTGCAATTTAAAAAGGTAAGTATGCAATAAGAAACTTAAAATCAAAACAAAAATTAAAAACATTAGTTTAACATTTAAAAATACAAATTTCTTTTAAGGACCCTTCTATAAACGCTATGGAAATGGTAACCGTTAGAGTTTCCGATATTTATATTATTGGTCTCAGCATAAAAATTTGGATATTCTTAAAGAAATGGATAAACGTTATCAAGATACTAATATTTTAGGTAATTTTCGAAAAAAAAAACTTAAAAAACTCCTTTGAATAAATGTGTAATTTTTCCTAAATTTTAGGCAAAATTGCAAATATAATACGGCAAGCTCATCAACGTTCTTCATGTTCATCACGACGACCACTACCAGAATATATTTCCATACCACAGTATTATCCCAGTGGTTTTCTAACATTAACCAAACAATGTTAAACATTCTGTCATACCACACATAAACACGATTTAAAATACCAGCAAAAAAAAAAAAAAAAATTATATAAAATACAATACGTAGTAAAATAGTACAGCTTAGGAATCTTCATTATATTTATAAAATTTATAAAAAACAAAAACAAATCATATAACGAATCAAACACACTTTGTAGCACAATTTCAATATGTGTGATTATTTAAATTAAGTGTTGTAACAACATTAAAAATAAATTATAATTAAAAATATAAACAACAGATGCTGCGGCAGTTAATAAATATTAACAAAAATAAATAAACAACAAAAAAAAAATAAAAAAAAACAAATTATTATGTCTTGCAGAAAGCAAATAATTGTGTTAAAAAAATTAATAATATTTTAAATAGCCTGGTAACGCTTTAAACAAAAACAAATTCATTAAAACTTTATACCTAATGTGAGTGTAAACTAAATTTGTTTTCTGTTGTTTTATCTTTATAGCTAAATATATGGATGATAAAAAGAAATGAAAAGAAAATTAGACAGGCAAATTAATACTTCAATAAAGCTTAAGATGTTGAGGTGTATTCCGCTTAAAACTGTTCTCTTAACAGGAAAGTATAAATCATAATTACTTATTATACAGTCTATAATGTAAACTTTTCTTTACAGATTTGTACCGGCAACCTATAGTTTGGATGACATCATTTCCTTAAAACATCATGCCAGTAAAATGAAATAAAAAGAAAAAAAGGATAGAAATGCTTTTTCGAAAATTTCTACGGTTAAAGGGTAAATATCTGAATTCTGAAGGAATTCAAATATACATTTGCTTAATAAACAAGTACTCCATTAATAAAACCGTTACTTGGGAGTGAAAAGTAAAAATTTCTCAAATTGAAACGTATAGTTAAATTTGTTTCTATAACAAATTATTCAAAATTTTACTGAGCCAGACCTATGCTAGATGTTTCTAAAGAAACTAATTTCTTTAGATTTTGTTTCTAATTTTCAAAGAAAAATTCCATTTTACAGTTTTTTTAAGATTTATTTTCTTTTTTTGTTACATATAAAAACAAAATCTTCTTAAATTAAGAATTTTATTTATTCCTAAATTTTGAAATAAATTGTCCTGCTTAGCGTGAAATGATTCGGAAGGAAATTGAACATAATTTTTAACAAAAAAAAAAACTAAACTGTATCTAACCTTAATAACGTTGTCTACCGCCGCCAGAATAACTGCCAGGTGGTGGAGGTTGATAGTAGCCACCACCACCCCTACTGGGAGGAGGAGGATTAGTATCAACTCCAGGTGGTGGTGGCGGAGGAGCACCACCACCTAGTGATACTCCCGGTGGCATAGGCGGTGGAGCACTGGCATAGTGTGAGGGGCCACCATAAGGTGGCAAAGAACCATAGGGCATCATGGGAGGCGGTAGTGGTGGTGGTATAACAGCGGGACCTGAATTAGCACCTGGTACGGAGGGCACATAGCCGGCACCGGGTGGTGGTGGAGGGGCTGTTTGATACATTGCATGCATAGGACTGGCCATGGCTTGAGGAGCGGCCGAGTACATATGATGGGCTGAGTGATGATGTGGTGGAACATGATGATAACTAGCCGCCGCTGAAGCCACATGAGAGGCAGGATGTTCTAAAGGCGTGGGAGCTGGTACTGTGGTAGCGGTAGCCGGTCCTGAGGAAATTGTTTTTATACTTTGTATATTATTGGGTTCATTAAGTGCGGTCATAGAATTGGAATTTGTTGCGATCTTCGTTTTACCCGCTGGAGACCCCGAATGATTGGCCAAGGGCAAAGATTTCATGGGCGTGGGGCTATCAGCCCGACTGGGTGGCTTCTGAGGAGGACTATTACTTTCGGTGGTATCTTTGGAATTTGTTTGATATAAATCTAACACTTGATGGCAAATATCCTCCAGAATATCCATGGTAACATCAGAGACAAACATATCCCACCAGCGTGTATGATGCGGTTGTCTACCCACCCAATCGACTACGGTAAACTTGCTTAGTTTCGAGGCTAAGTAGATTAAAGCCACCGCTATAATTTCCGGTTCCCATTGTAAGCACACCACCGTGCTAAGCGAATCATTGACAAAATTCCAAGCCATTTGCACCATTTTCTGTAATTTCTGTTGATCGCCCTTAAAACATTTGGCATAGCGCAAGAGAAAGGAATAGGGATGCTCCACTTGTAAATCAAACTTAATGGTTTGTAAAAGAATACGTTCCAAAGTAATCACCTCCTAAAAAAATAAAGAAATTTGCACAGAATTAATAATTAAGGATTAAACCTAAGGACTGAACTTACCTCTTTTGGTTCTTTGCCAAAAGAATAAAAATGATTATCGGTCAGCAGCTGACGGGCTATCATTATTATATCACGACATTTCTTTGGTGTTTCCTCCACTTTACCGGCTAGCAGCAGACAACAGCAAGCGGTCACATAGCGTGGAAAATGTTTAAACGATTGAAACATATAGAATCTATGAAAATAAACCACACCCGTGGCCATGGTATTATGACCCAAACCCATTTGTGTGCCACAGGTCATTATAAAGCGAGCGCCCTCTTTACGATAGCGGCGCTCCGTCTCCAATGGTATGCCATCACGCACTGAGGGAGTATCACGTAATTCATTTTTATCATAATACCAACAGGGCATCTTCCTTTAAACTATAAATTTTCTGCAAAAATATTCTGTGGATTCTTTTCTAAAAAGAATTGTTTACAATTTTGTTGTTGTTTTTTTCACTTTCTGCCTTTTCTTTTGCCAGTAGTCTCAATAACAAAGTTACACGTTCTTATTATTTTTTTGCCGATATCTTTTCCGTAAGCAAATTGTATTTGCTTAGAGAATTTTCTATATTAAATAATTATATTACAGTTGAACTTAATTATTTTATTAAAATATTTTATATAATTGGCGGTTGTTTAATAATTTTCTTATTTTTTCTACAATAAAATGCCGAACTTAAAAAAATTTTATGTTTTCTCTTTTTTTCTTTTCCCATGAAATGTCAAAATATACTATTGTGAATCATTTGTATGTGTGTCAGCTAGGGAAAACATATGTTTTACAAATACAGAGCTGTTTAACAATAACAAGTTACAAGAATATTTCTTTTATTAAATTACATAAAATTATTATAATTCAATATTTAAATTTGTATAATTTTTATTTTCTCCAACAATTAAAATTTAAAATTGTTTATTTCTTGAGTTATATATGAAACTTATAATCTTATTTCGTTCTTCCCAGCTCTGTTATACATCAGCTCATTGTAAATGATAATTATGTTTTCCAGTTTGCTATTGTGACTGTTTGCATATATCGAAATGTCAGTTAAAAAAATAAGATTTTATTAAAGGATTTTCATAAATTGAAATATTTAACTATTATTTATACATAAATTAATATCAAAACCGCTTAAATATGGAAATTAATCGCATTTATATTTGTTATCTAATAACCACCCTGCTAATAAGCATATTTGTTTATTCCCTTGTTTCCAGCAATTTGCAAAATATGAAAAAATTGGAAAGGTTAAGAGAAGAAGTAGATGATATAGCGGTAAGCTTTTTAAAAATATAAAGAAAATTGTAACCATATTAAAGTAAACATTGTGGCTAGCATTTAATTCTAGAAACTCCCTATAATGGTAAAACCGATTCGAAATATTTAACCGATTTAATAGACAACTTTATTAAAAAACGTTTGGCCGGCATATGGGATGATTTGTATTCGCTAAAGAAACAAATAAAATCGCGTGATTGTACGGCTACCTTGACGCAAAACTCCAAAAACCAGCAAAAAATGGAAGTAGCACAAATGGAGGAAAGGGTAAATTATGCTGCCGCAGAATTGGGAGCCAGAATTTTGAATGTCAAAGCAGAACCCATATGTTCAGGCAATATTTTGAAAACCTGGTTGGGCATGGAGTTTAATACTAATCCTCCCATTAATATGTTACGCTCTACTATGGAACCTGGTAGTTGTTTTGGTTTTAGAAACAATAAAGCTGAAGTTACACTAATATTGGCTAGGGAGGTAAGAAAACCCTATTTATATATAATTTCTCTAAAGGATTCAATACTTTTTATTTTAGGTGTTAATAGATCAATTTTTAATGCAACATATTACCAAAAAACAATCTCCTTCAGAGGATATTTCATCAGCTCCCAAAGATTTTCAAGTTTTTGTAAGATTCTTCCGGTTTCAAACTTTTCAATTTAATATTTTTAATGTTTCATTCTTTAGGGCTTGCAAAATAATGATGAAGAATTTTATTTGGGTACTTTTAAGTTCGACAATAACCAACCTGTACAGTATTTCAATATAAAAACAAATGAAAGATTTCAAAATTTAAGAATTCAATTCGATTCCAATCACGGACATCCTAATTATACTTGTGTTTATAGGTAAGAATTTTTAATATAGAAACGAACTAGAACAAATTTCCAAAATGTTCTTTTGATTTTTTCTGTTTGTATTTTCCAGAATTGCTGTTTTCGGCAAATTGTAAAAGAATTTATTTTAAAATGTTTTTTGACATCTTATTATTGTACGAGAAGTTTTAAATGTTTCTTAATGCAAAGATAATTTTTAAATTATTTTATTTATGAATTTATTAAAAATGTGTTTATATTTATGTTAAAACTATTTATTTGTTGTATAAATTTATTAAAAAACTTACTTAAAAATGTTTGTTTATTTGGTGTTGCGCTCAAATGCCAGTTGTTTTTTAACAAAAGGAAGTAATAATTTTTTGTTTTGTTTGGCAAAGAGAGAGATATGACAAGAGAGCTAAAAGTTCTAATGAGAAAAATAGCGGTTTTTTGTTGAAAACACTTTTCTACAAGGCTGCCATATGCGGTCAACTTTTGCTATTTAGACGATTTAGTTACGCAAAGTTTTTAAAGGCAATGAAGGTAATTTTAATTAATTTTATGGCAAAACAAAAATTTTTTTGAAATAAATTTAATTATTTTTTGTTAAAAGATGTTAAAGCTGTGTAAATATCATTGTTTTTAATAAATTAAGCTTTGTACAACAAATAACAGCTGGCAACTTGGTTCACCTCTGTCTAATGTTTTTATTTTCTTTTTTTGTTTCTACTGTCAGTTTGTTATGTATACAAACAAAAACCGGACGTGTTTTTAAAAGGTAAAAACACTAGTTAGTGAGTGGTTTTAGAAAAAAAGAAATAAACAAATGAGTAATAAGTTGAAAAAATAAATACATAGCTAAATTAGTTTAATTGATAAAATATTATTAATTTTTTTTGTTTACACTCTGAGAGTGAACAGAGAAAGCTGTTATGTCAGAAAAAAAAGAAATTTTTGTTTATATTTAAAAATGTACCTTTATAAATAATTATTAAAATAAAAGAGAGTACACAACAACAATTTTGTCATATACTAAAAGAGCGCAGTTACATTTTAACTCTTCACGGTGACACATCTCGGCTGCGGACGGGGCTAGAAATATTATAAGAAAATAGCAAAACATAATTGTTAAAGAATTATTAATCTTTAAGTTGTTTTTCTGTGTGTGTGTGTATAATAAGAAATAGAATACAAAAAAATCTTTTGTTAAAATTTACTTTATTTAAATTAATATAAAATTTTCCATTTAAATAAAAGAAATAATTAAACACAAGTGCAATTTGTAGCTGAAAATTCCCACACTAAAAACAACAACAACAATTATACTACCACAAAAAAAACATAAACAAAGGTAGAGAAAACAAATTGTTTAATACAGAAAAAAAGCAAAAAGGAAGAGCAGAGGGGGTTAAAGAACAAGCAAAAGTAATAGAAATTTTTTTTAAAGAAAAAATACTACTACTGCCTTGTAAAAAAAGAAAAACAACAATAGCCTAAACGTGTGTATTTAGTATTTTGTTGTTGTTGTTGTTTAAAACAAAATACAACAAATTTTATTGATTGTATCTTAAAGAAAAAATAACAAAACCCCAGAAAAAATACTGAAAAAAACTCTCAAAATTTAAAAAATATAATAATTAAAAAAAAGTGTTAAAATTGTTTAAATATACTATACCTTCATAGGTAAAAAGCAAAGTGTTTTTTATTAAAAATAAAAACAATACATAAAGAATCCCTTGAATAAAATTTAATACATTAAAAAGAAGTAAATCCCTAAAAATGGTGCAAAAATTTCAATCCCCCGTCAGGGTTTATAAACATCCTTTCGAGTTGGTGATGAAGGTAAGTGTTGCTCTATCTATACTTTTAGTTTTTAGAATGTAAAGTTTGCTTTTTTAAGTCACATTCATTATTTTTAGTTTAACAACAGGGATGAGCCCTAAAAGTAACAAATTGTACCAGACATGCCATGAAAAAGTACCAGATTTTTAAGTTAAATGTTTCTATAAAGACTAGGTGGATAGATAGATAGATAGACAGATAGATAGATAGATAGATAGATAGATAGATAGATAGATAGATAGATAGAGAGATAGATAGATAGATAGATAGATAGATAGATAGATAGATAGATAGATAGATAGATAGATCGATAGATAGTATATCGCTCGCTACGCTCGCTCCTCGCTCGCTCGCTCGCTCGATCGCTGCTCGCTCGCCTGCTCGCTCGCTCGCTCGCTCGCTCTCTCGCTCGCTCGCTCGCTCGCTCGCTCGCTCTCGCTCCTCTCGCTCCTCGCTCGCTCTCTCGCTCGCTCGCTCGCTCGCTCGCTCGCTCGCTCGCTCGCCGCTCTCGCTCGCTCGCTCTCTCGCTCGCTCCTCGCTCGTCGATGATAGCTAGATAGATCGATATATAGATAGATGATGATGATAGATAGATAGACCAGTAGATTCAGTTCTAGTTCAGTTCTAGTTCAGTTCTGGTTCATACTAGTTCAGTTCTAGTTCAGTTCTCTAGTTCAGTTCTCGTTCAGTTCTAGTTCAGTTCTAGTTCCGTTCTAGTTCCGTTCTAGTTCATTCTAGTTCATTCTAGTTCGTTCTAGTTTCGTTCTAGTTCAGTTCTTTTAGTTCTAGTTCAGTTCTAGTTCATTTCTACTTCAGTTCTCTAGTTCAGTTTCTAGTTCTAGTTCGTTCTAGTTCAGTTCTAGTTCATTCTAGTTCAGTTCTATTCATTCTAGTTCAGTTCTAGTCATTTCTAGTTCTGGTTCAGTTCTAGTTCAGTTCTAGTTCAGTTTCTAGTTCATTCTAGTTCATTCTAGTTTAGTTCTAGTTCAGTTCTATTCTGTTCTAGTTCAGTTTTAGTTCAGTTCTAGTTCAGTTCTGGTTCAGTTCTAGTTCAGTTCTAGTTCAGCTCTAGTTCAGTTCTACTTCAGTTCTAGTTCAGTTCTAGTTCAGTTCTAGTTCAGTTCTAGTTCATTTCTAGTTCAGTTCTAGTTCAGTTCTAGTTCAGTTCTAGTTCAGTTCTGGTTCAGTTCTAGTTCAGTTCTAGTTCAGTTCTAGTTCAGTTCTAGTTCAGTTCTAGTTCAGTTCTAGTTCAGTTCTAGTTAAGTTCTAGTTCAGTTTCTAGTTCAGTTCTAGTTCAGTTCTAGTTCAGTTCTAGTTCAGTTCTAGTTCAGTTCTAGTTCGTTCTAGTTCAGTTCTAGTTCAGCTCTAGTTGAGTTCTAGTTCATTTCTAATTCAGTTCTAGTTCAGTTCTAGTTCAGTTCTAGTTCAGTTCTAGTTCAGTTCTAGTTCAATTCTAGTTCAGTCCTAGTTCAGTTCTAGTTCAGTTCTAGTTCAGTTCTAGTTCAGTTCTAGTTTAGTTCTAGTTCAGCTCTAGTTCAGTTCTAGTTCGGTTCTCTATTTTTGATATAAATAATCCACATTCAAGAACAGGTTTATGTACTTTTCACCTCTGAACTTCTCCTTATAACTTATCTATAATACTACAAAATTGTACACATCCACCA